GTGTGTGTGTGTGTGTGTGTGTGTGTGTGCACAGCAACGACACTCCTCTCTTTCTCTTGCGCATGTGCCTGCTTTATGTGCCTGCTTTGGCTCAAAGTTTTTACTTCATGGAAAGCAAGTCAACTTGCCAGGAATTGCTTAAAGTTAACTAGAGATGAGTGTACCCTAGGTTCGTGTCCTGAAGGAAATGATATTTTAGAACAGGTTGGAATCGCTTGGCATTAAGTGAACTGGCATTTTGCGGGCTTGCACTGCACCATTCAGGTACACAACTTGGCATCCCTCCAAGGACCAGAAGTTGCTGCAAAATATGCAGCGCGTCATGCAAAGCATTGCATCCAGATGGGCGAGGTAGGATTCCAATGCATACTTGTTTCCTTTTCCTCACCCTTTTTGGATCTTCTTTTCTGCTTCCTTCCTTCTGAATGGTACATGAAAAATGTGCTTCCATTCAGTTAAAAAATCTTCAATCCATTTATGATTTATATAACTTTGACATGTTTCTTTTGCCATTTTCTGAACGCTATCCAGCTGCAAGCATCCATCCTCCACCTGTTCTCTTGGTTGTCCTTCGACCCTCAGCACCATTGTCAGTGTCGCTGGTCACCATGTTATGTACCCGATTGAGCTTCAATCCACAACAAATTCACACGTTCCCATTCACGAAGGCAATTGCAGAGTAGACTCGAAGGAGGCAAATCCACACAAAACCGGAGAGGATATGCACAGCGGAAGCTCAAAATACACAGAGAATTGAAAAACGAATTTCAATTCTGCAATCCCTTGTCCTCCTCCGTTCAATCCAGAGTACTTGTTCCAAGAATCACAACCGCGTTTACAACAACCTCAAACAACCAAAAACAAGTGTTCAACAAAGTATGCAGGAGTCTTCTTCCTCCTACTCGCCACCTCATACCCCTGGCTATGGCTGTCGTAGCAGCAGTAACCCCACAGCTCAGCACCCGCACGGAAGTGCAGCGCTGGAAGTCCTGACGAATAAGGCGATAACCGATCCAGCACTTCAAAGAAGACGAAGTTCCTCGTGAGGAGGAACAGCAGATATGGCTGCCAAGTGGAAAATGGCAGCGCTGCAAAATAGCAGCAGTGCGATCTTCAACTTCGTTTCCCAACCCCACCTATGGCTGGGCTTCGATGAAGAAGATGACCTCGCCCAAAATAGCGCAGCAGCGCTCCAACAACAGACGGGCAGAGTTTCTCAAGCCAACAAAACGTGAAAGGACCCGAACCAAATTTCCTACCGGCTACTTCTACCCTCTGCCTAGACATACGAGGGACTCCAAAGGCAACAACCCAAGACTCACCTGTATCTAGATGGAAACAGGGGGGAAAGGGGACCTAGACCTATGACAAGGCAAAAGGAAAAGGCCGAATGGCCTAAGACTACCAGACAGAGACTACTAGCGACAGACTCAGGGATCAAGTCCCAATACGGCGCAGCACTCACAAACAAAACACACGAGTTACAGGTCACAGGATCAAATCCCGCAAGCTCAAAACAAAGAAACAGCAAGTAAACAAACTACACAGCCGAACACTTAGTATAGAGCCCGACTGGGAAACTGTGATTTATTGCAACCAGGAGGCCAAGTAATTTCACGCAAACACAAAAGAGAAGTCTGCCGGATTTCCAATCAGACCATGATGGTTATTGGAGAGCCACCGGATAACGAGGGGGCCGAACCAATTTGAAGTTTGAGTCCCATTTGCAATGACTTGCTAGTTCCAGGTTGCCTGTAGCCTTGCTCTGACGAGGCTGTACCATGGTTAGGGACAGATTCGTAATTTTGTTTGGCTGAGGACTAACCGAGAGACCTGCCTGTATGGAAAATTCGTGAGGGACATATCTGTAAATATAGAAATATGGGCCAGCTACCCTAACTGCAAATAGCAGACCCGGGCTACCCCTACGACAGACAGGCCCTATGGGCCTATGCTCATAGACGGTCCTATAGCCTATAGCCGGGTAGGGAGAGGCCCTAGAGGCCGAAATAGAAACGGTACCGGTCGGTCGGTCAGTCCGGTCTAGGTCGGTCTAGGCTAGTGTTAGAGTATGGATAGGATGGGGACATCGGTCCTGGGCTTTTGGCAGTTGACACTTCATGGTGGAAGTTGTTGCGCACACGGTATCAGGTCGTGGTTGCTGATTCCCGTGGTGGAGACGGCGGACATAGCCAGACCTTCGGAGCGCTGACCAGACTGGGGTCAACGCTGTCCGCTCCGACTCTCCGAGAGTCAAAGCGGTCTGGGCTATCAGAGGTCTGATGCGTTGTAGCACGTGGTGCACTGCTGACCCTCCTCAGGAGTAGGGTCCCAGTGGCGATGCAGCCATAGCTGCATCTTCTCAGAGATATCATCGTCTGCACTTCATCTTCATCAGAGACTGTTGGTGTTCAGCTTCTTCTTCATCATCTGGGTGGCGATTGGCTCTGGGAGCCTGTTTCACTTTGGCGCAGGCCACTGAGTTGGATGTCAGGGTGGCGTTGGGTGTTACCTGGGGTTTCGGTGCTATTTTTAGCTGTTCTGGGTGGTGGGGTTGAGGCACTACCCTCTGAGGGTAGCGCAATAGGGTTCTGAGGTTATTCAGTGAAAACGATGCTCCGAGTTTAATAAACAGTTGCAATACTGTATTTGAGTTGTCATCTCTTCATTGATTTCTGGCTGTGATCACTCGGTTGTCTTCTATGAATGATTGTTGGGATCTCTATGGAGAGAATTCACTGCATGGTGTCTTCTGTCACTTCGCTTCTCTGAGTCTTCCGCTGCGTTTTCTAATCTGAGCGGTGTGACCCTCCACTACCTCTCCCCTTCCTTCTGTGCATGTATGGGCGTGTGTGGGAGTTCCTGTGAGTGAGTGTTGATAAAATTTCAACAGACAATCATGTTCATAACAGTTGGTATCGGACCAGATGGGACCCAGATAGTGGCGAGATGATGGACTGAGGCAGCCATCACTACCTGAGAGCTTCTCACGTCAGGTTTCATGCTGAAATCGCATTTTCAGGATTGCGCTCACTAGGGTGTCGGTGAAGAGTGTGTGGCGGTTGGTATAACACAGAGATTGGTGGCGATTCAGTGCTCAGTGGCCTGGGAGGCACTAAGGGGCTATTTTTAGCCTAGGCGTTGACTCTGCTGGTGGCGAGATACCTGGGGGTATGTCGAGTTTCAGATTTTGGGCAAGGCACAGTGAATATGACTAGTGGGGATTAATCGCCATATCAAGAACTACAGTATCACCAAGTTTCAGGAGATTTGGAACGTGGGAGCTCCAGGAACAGTGAATTGAAGAAACTGGCGAGATAGCGGCCATAGCCAGTTCAACTTCTTCTTCTAGTGTTTTGACCTGAAGTAAGTGTGTGCCTTACTCAAGTCTCTGTGGCGCGTCTGATAGTTGTGATTAGACTGGGAAAATCGGAATTGTATGTCTGTAGACAGTGAAACTTGAAAATCGCACTGCCTGACAGCCATATCTATTTCTCCTAGCTATCTACTTTGACTTCTACTGACTCTGTTTGACCTCCTTTCTGTCTCAAATTGCATCTCTGAGTGTATTACAGTATTGCGATTCAGTATACACTGTGAATTGAGTAGTTCAGGGTCTGTATGTCAGTGATAATGGAATTCTGAGTATTGCGCTGCCATAGCCAGTGCTTGGGGCAGCTAGGGTTTGTCACATCTTAGGTTCTGTCCGTCATAATTTCAGTCTGTTAGTCACCCTGAAATCGCAATTCAATATTGTGTCAGTGTCTGAAAGCGCTCTGCTGGATTTGATGTTTTGAGTCAGGTACAGTGAAATCTGTACTTCGCCTGACCCATAGTGGGGCATACAGGGTCCTACAGTGCCAGTGTCAGTAGTAGGAGTCTAAAAATAGCTTGATCAGTCATCCGCTGCATCTTGGTTGACTACTGGGTTCTATTGATTGCTACTGACTCTCTGCGCTATTCTGACCTTCTACTTACAGTCCAAGGTTGCATCCTGTCTAACCATCTGACAACAATTCTGGGGTTGTTGCACTCAGATGAGGGTTCTGGGCTGTGAATGAAAAATCGCAAGTCTGATTTTATCTGGATTTATCCTAAACTGACCCAGAAAAGCCCTCAGCGGCCTACAGAGGCTGAGCGCTCTTCTGCCCTTTACACCACGTCTCTTCTCATCAGGTGGCAGTGATTACATCAGTGTATGTGTGTGTAATCTTAATCTATGTTGACCTTGTTTCTGCTTGTCTATATTTATTTGACTGTGTGAGTGGTTCACTATGTCTGACGCTGAGACAAAGATTGAGGGAGGAGAAACTTCTACTAACCCTCATCAGGTTCCTCTCTCTCCTCTGGAATAGGCTCTGCTAGAGGCCGAGCAAGCTCGCCTCAAGGCAGAGGCCCAAATCCAGCGGTTGAAGAAGGAGATGGAGGAAGCTCAGGAGGCTAGTAGAAATGAAGAGAGGAGAAGACAACTACGCAAGGATGTGGAGAAGGTTGTCACGAGTGGTACATCCATTCAGTACAGTAAGGATACTGCTGAATTGGTGCTCTTAACAGACACCATCAACAGGTCCTACTTTTCTAACTGGGACCAGAGGATACTCGCCCTCGAGACCCAAGGTTTTGCCATAGACTGCAAGGTTGACAAGCTGGCAGCAAGCCTTGAGTCCCTGACGACGAGTGTGAACAACATTCTGCAGCATCTACAGCTACCTGTCCCTTCTCCCAAACCTCCTCAACCTTCCCCAGCGCCCTCCACACCATCTCACAGTCGGCCATCTTCACCTGCTGGTTCCCATGTGTCCACTACCCCTGCCGCCTCTGGCACATCTGATCAGCGGCAGCCCAAGCTGATGCCACCTCCTATATATTCTGCGGAGGACCCCAAGGTAGACGTTTCATATTGGATTACTGCTATGCAGGCATACCTGGGCAGCTTTGTATGTCCAGAGGTGACAAAGGTAGGGACTATTGTGGGTCGCCTGGAGAGGACTGCACTGAAATGGTGCACCTCCTCTGCAGCGAAACAGAATTTGCCCATGGACAAGTGGGCACAACAGCTGAAGGTGGAGGGGTTGCTGCAGGCCCTGCGAGACCAGTTTGCAGACAGGGAACAAGCCCGAAAAGCAGCAGATAAGATAATGCTGCTGGGCTCACACAGATTTGAGGGTTCCCTGTCCAAGCTCTACAGCATGTTTGAGAGCTTGACAGCTACTCCCGGTCTGGAGATGTGTGAGTCTGACCACCTCACTCACTTCCTGCGCGCAGCGCCTCCAGACTACTCCATCGCTCTTTTCTCTTAGGACCACAAGGACTGGAGGTCCTTTGGCAAAGTGGCCCTGGACCTGGAGTCC